ACCCGCTCTTACCCCAATTCCACTCTGGATCTATGGATTGTAGCTTGGTTATCATTTATTAACAGCTGATATCCACATATAAATGAACACATTTTTTTCTAGTTCCATCCCCTACAAATTTCATGATGTACTTTTTAACAGTTGAGTAATATTCCATTATGGAAATGTACATTTTCTTTATCTGTTCTTCTCTTGAGAAACATCTAGGTTATTTCCACTTTCTGACTGTTATGAATAGAGCAGAAATGAACATAGTTGAATAAGTGTCCTTATGGTAGGATGCAATGTCCCTTGGGTATATGCATATATGCCAAAGGGTTATGGCTGGATCTTGAGGAGGTAGATTGATCACAGTTTTCTAAGAAATTAACATGCTGCTTTCCATAGTGATTGTACAAATTTACACTCCCACCAGCGATGTATGAGTGTTCCTCTTATTTCATATCCTTGCAAATATGAGGTGTAACTAGTGTTACTGATCTTAGTTAGCCATTCTGATGTTGTAAAATGTAATCTCAAGGTAGTTTTGATTTACATTTCCCTGATGGTTAAGGATGTTGAACATTTGTTTCTTAACCATTTAAGTTTCCCCTTGAGAATTCTGTGTTTAGATCTGTAACCAGTTTTTTGGATCAAGTTTATTGAGTTCTTTGTATATTTGGATATTAGTCCTCTGTGGGATGTGCAGTTGATAAAAATCTTTTCCTATTCCGTAGACTACTGTTTTGTTACTACAATGAAGGAATGTTGCTTTATAGCAGCCAGGGGCAAGGCCCACTTCCTAACAGTCCACTAAGCCATGAATTCATTAATCCACTGAAGTTAGACCTCTTTGAGTCTATTACTTCTGAAGGCTCAGCACTGAAGCTATTGAAATTGAAAGACTTAGTTTTGAGTATCTGAGCCTTGGGGGAGACCCATTACATTCAAATCATAAAGTGAACTAGGAGCCGTTGAATCACATGTAATTTGTTGTTGATGTGTTGTGAATCTTCTGTTTTCCTACCCAGTTTTAGGACTGTTTGCATTGTACAAGGGTTCCAGTTTCTCTGAATTCTCTCCAACACTCTTTATAAGCATCCTGTCCTAGTCAGTATGAAATTATGGTATCAGGCTATTGATTTGCTTTTCATAAATGACTGATGCTGAGTATCTTTGCATGTGTTTTTGGTTATTGCTTTGGGTTTTAAGTGTTAGCTCTTAAATTTTGTGTATATGATTGTTTTGAATTAATTTTAATTTTTAAGAGCTAGGAATCTAGCTTCCTTCTTTGTATGTAAATACTGTTTTCCCATTAACATTTGTTCACGAAAATGCCCATTCCCACATCCAGCAGTTTTACAACCTTATTGAAAAGCAGGTGTGTGTGTGTGTGTGTGTGTGTGTGTGTGTGTGTGTGTGTGTGTGTGTGTGTGTGTGTGTGTTGGTTTATATCTAAAGTCTCAATTCAGTTTAATGGCTTATTATGTTTAGTATTTTGCCAGTCAGTACCACACAGTGGTTCCTTTAACTTTTAATTGGCTTTGGAGTTCTGAAAAAGTCTTCCTAGTTTGTTCTTGTCCTACATAGCTTTGGCTACTTTCAGACTCTAGGATTTTCATATGAATTTTAGAATCAGGTTAACAGAATCTAGATTTTTATAGATACATTAAATTTGTACATCTGTTTTGGGAAGATGATCCTCTTAGCAATACTTTTTAATTCTTGTTTTTAAAAGGGAACCACTTTCTGAATTTCCGTTGGGGATTGTTCATTTAGTAAAGTATGTAAGACAGAATTATGTTTATTGATCTTTATTATATACCTTTCTGAATTTATTACAAGGGAGATACCAATCAATCGATCTGTATGAATATAAGGTCATTTAATCTTCAGGTAATAAAAGAGTGCTACACCCACCCGAACCCCCACCCCCAGCCTCAGCCCCAGCTAAGGTGCCACCTTTGCTTTTCTTTCTTTTCCCTTCCCTAATTGTTGAGGCTTGAATTTCTAGTAGAATGTTAAATAGAAGTAAAGAAGAGGTCATCCATGACTTTCTGCTTAGGTGGAAGACTTGTTTTTGCCACTGAGTGCAGTGTTGATTGTGGCCTTAAGAGACTATGTTCTCTTTTGTCGGTTTATCTATATCTCCTGAAATGTTTTTTTTTATTCTACTGATGCATATTTTGTTTCATTTTGAATATAAAAATATATATTGATTCTCTTATAAATATGCATTTGCTTTATAAGGAATCTTAATTGGTATGTAGGGATTTGTTTGGTGTCATCCCCCCCCGCAATTTGGTGTTAAAGTAATGTTGGCATCATAATATGATTGGGAAGTGTTCTATTTAATATCTTTGAAAGTTTGAGAACATCTGGAGGTTTTTATGGTTTTTTTTTTAATATTTGCTAGAATTGACTACTAAGTTCTGAGCCTAGGTTTTTGTATTTGGGATTCTTGAGGCTTAGAGCCACAAATGGGAAGACATTTCAGTAGGAGACTTAATGCTACCAAAATGCAGACTCTTGCAACCATTGGGCCAAGAATACAAAGCACTATCTACAAAGATTACTCTTACGCCTTACAGTCTAATAGAATTGGATTTACTAATACCCTGACATCTGTGTGTTCAAGTGCCTGTTTTCCAGAAGCCTTGCCATGATCATACAGTCTGTTGTCGTATATTTGTGTAATTATCAGAATGATAGGTAAAGCATGCACTGCTATGCTGACATTATAAATGAATTGAGTTTTTTGTTGTTTGTATGTTTGAATTGAAAGCCATATTTTTTCTGAGGTGTCGTTTTCTTTTGGGCTGTTATTAAATAGACTTTGCTACTGTTTCACTTTTGCTATATTTTATGGTTATGCAGTCTGGTGTTACCTTAAGTTTTACATTATTTTTAGAAAGGCTTTCACATGTGAAATTATTAAAAGAATGTCCTCCTGTCTTAAGTACGTTCACTTCTAAATAGAAACTACATTTATTTACTAGCTATATGCACTCTGAATACTTATGTTATTGCTAAAGTCTTCAGTGATGTGTCTTCAATGAGGGGATAACCCACCTCACTTCATTCAACCTAAAAATGTGAGAAAATAGAGGAAAATATAAAAAGTTTTTTACACCTGTATACAGTGTCCCACAGAGCCTGAAATAAAATAATACTGGAACTAGACTTAACCATGATTGTATAGATGAATTTAAATACATGGTGTGATCTAAGTAAAATTGAGCAACTACAGGAAGGGCATTCCTGTAGGACAATCCTGTTAAATTCTTTGCAACATTACAGTTATTGAAGTATCTAGAACTGTCATTCCTTTTGCCTCCCCTAATTCTGGTTTTCTTTCTGAGACCACTTTCTTAATTTAACTTAGAGCTAATGGTTAGAATTCCATGAGTCAATTTCTTGGGTCTATTTTACATGCATTTTGAGTAAATAAAGTACTATTTGGCAATGAAATGTATTTTACATAGAGTAGCAATATTAGGATAAGTGTTCCTTTAGTATGGGGGCTGTGTGTGTATACATACATGTGTACCATACTTTTAGTTAGGGTTGCTTGCATGAGCATTGGTACAAGGGCAACTTATAGAGTTGCTATGTCACAGGGCAGTATGGCTGTCCCCTCCCAGCAAGCAATAACTGCCTCCTTATGGACAGGTGAGACCTAATGTTGAAGACCCCAGTCTTGGGCAGATAACTGCAGTCACTGTGGATTTTTATGAGTGTAGCAACCATATCAGATTCAGGACATAGCATTTTACAGCACAATTTCCCATATCTGATTCTTATATTCCTTCCACCCTTCCCTGAGCCTTGAACTGGATGATATAGATGTCCTGGACAGTGCTCAATAGTCATATATTCTCAGCACTTTGATCAGTTAAGGGTCTCTATATTAACCTACTGCTCACTGCAAAAAGAAGCTTGTCTAATCAAGGCTGTAGAAGCTCTGATCACTAGATGTAACATAAATAAAAGCAGTATGACATGTCTGGTTAGGAAAACAACAGTAATAGGTTGAGCGTGTAAGTGGATACATCTTGCCTGGCAGTACTGTAGATCAGTATTGTAGAATGCAGGGTTTACAACTGGATGAGACTTTCCCAGCAGTGTGCATAGTACCTTTCAGCACTGTAAAATTGAGTCAGCAGGAGGAAAAGCATCGAATTCATTTCCAGCTTGATGTTTGTCCTGCAGCCAGTGTGTGGTGTCTTCAGCAGTAGGTTCAGACCATTCAGTTCTGGTGGGCAATTGCCTTTGTTTTTGTTTTTTATGATCTCACCGGCCTTAATTCATGATCCTTCTTCTATACAGATTTTTACCCAAAAACTTATTATTATTTTTATCATTATTATTTTTATTATTATTATAGAAATATTAAAGAACAACAACTATTTCCTAGCTACACTAATAGCAATCACAGCCCTAATCAATCTATTCTTCTACAGATGTTTAATTTACTCTACTTCACTAACAACATTTCCAACAAATGATAACTCTATAAATATTCATCAAAAAAACTCTACCTGCCACACTTGTCTTACTTAGAGTTACTATTGCTGTGATGAAACACCATGACCACGGCAACTCTCCTAAAGGAAAGCATTTACTTGGGACTTGCTTACAGGTTCAGAGGAGTCCATTGTTGTTATGGCAACAGGGGTGATAGCATGCCGGCATACATGGTACTGGAAGTGACTGAGAGCTCTACATCCAGATCTACAGGCAGAGAGATACTGCGTCTAGCTTTAAGCATTTGAAACCCCAAAGTCCACCCACCAGTGACATACAAACCCCAACAAGGACATACTAATAGTACCACAGCATGCAAACATAACATTCAAATAAACAAGCCTATGAGGCCATTCCTATTCAAACCACCACAAGGCCCAAAAAAAAGTCCATTTTATTTCAGTGTCCTCTTGCTTGTTTTTATTATTTCAATGAACATCTTTGGGGGGTGCTATTTATTGGTTAACTGAAAACTTAAATTGTGTTTTCAACAGATCCCAAGGAAGAGAAAGAAGATGATTCTGTCCTCCCTCAGGAAGTTTCCATTTCTGCAACTAGACCTAGCCGCGGCTGGCGCAGTAGTAGCAGGACATCTATCTCTCGCCTTCGAGACACTGAGAATACTCGGAGCTCTAGGTCCAAGACTGGTTCGTTGCAACTCGTCTGCAAGTCAGAACCAATTACAGATCAGCTTGATTATGGTACGATGCAAATTCAGTATGGTTACTCCATTACCTAATTGGTTCTTTAATCTTAAATGTAATGTTGAGCATTTACCTAAATGTTTCTAATTTTCAAGCAGGTAGTAATGTAGATAGGATTTGTTTCAGATATGCTGTAGATAGTCTCTATTTAAAGAACTACTTCATACAGTTACAGTGATCACTTAATCTTTAGCTATGAAGAGAAAATATTTCATGTTTCTCAATAAATTTTGGTTTAATTTTCTAGACGTTCCAGAAGAACATCAGTCTCCCGGTGGCATTAGGTATAAAATTTATTTCAAAAATCTTTGATTACTCATTAAATGACTGCGACTTTATTTGGAATTTTGAGCTGTTAAATTAACTTGATTTTTAATATTACACTTAATATTCCACATTTGATTTTAAAAGGACCATAAAACTAAAACTTAGTTTCCTAGTTCCAAAAGCATGTCTTAAGTATCTTCTCTGGGTGAACTTATTCTGCGTTGGACCCAGAAATATAAGTGTCTTGCCAGTGTCTTTCATGGTACTTTGGTAATTTAGTGTTGGTTAAGTCTTTCATGAAATAACACATTATCAGACATAGAATTACAAAGTCAGTTGTCTAACTCTTCTTGCCATTGGGTAATTATTTCTCATTTTTACTTAAAATGTTGTATCTTATTTGTGTAGTCTGAGTTCTAAGTATAGCTTATAATAAAGGAGCTTAGGATGTAGTACAATCAGATCATAAGGATGGAAATTTTGGGTAATATGAATTTGTGATTGTGTCTAAGTATTCTAGTTCAGTCCTATTAAACAGTCCTTGGAACCAGAATTTATCATGTTTGCTTACTTGTAGTAGTGATGAGGAAGAGGAGGAGGAAGAAGAGATGTTAATCAGTGAAGAAGAAATACCATTCAAAGATGACCCAAGAGATGAGACCTACAAGCCCCATCTTGAAAGGCATGTTTGAAATTTTACTGTACATGCTAGTAGAAAATATATAGGAATACATACACTGAATATATTTTTGTTGCAAGATTATATAAGCGCAATTTTAAACAAGTGATTGTTTTGCAACTATAATATTTTATTCTCTCATATAGCTCTCTTTGGTCTAATGACCTTTAATATTGACTGTACTATTTAGTAGATGTGTGCATGTTTTAATAAGGTTTTCTGGAATGTTTAGAATTTGTTCGCTCAATATCTTATTTCTCTTTACAACTATAGTGAGATTTGATTTTTGTATGTTTTGGTCTGTTGCTATGATGACCAATGATGACTAAAAGCAAATTGGGGAGGAAAAAGGTCTATATTGGCTTATTTTCCACACGACCTATTGACCATCACCGAAGGAAGTCAGGGCAGAAACTCAAACAGGGAGAACCTGGGACAGGTGCTGATACAGAGGCCATGGTGGGGCGTTGCTTCCTGCCTTATTCATCATGGCTACCTCAGCCTGCTTCTTACAGACTCCACCAAGGTTGGTCACATCCTCAGTGAGCTGGGTTCTCCCCCATGGATCACTGTTTAAGAAAACCGCCCTCCAGGCTGGCCTACAGCCCAGTCTTATAGAAGCATTTTCTTAGTTGTGATTCTCCTTTCAGATGACTCTGGCTTGTGTCAAGTTGGCATAAAATTAGCCAGTGTAAAGCAGTATTCACCCATGGGCATAATATTTATACATCCTTGCTGTGGGGTGGGGATGTGGGCAGTTGATAAGAAGTTGTGGTTTGTACGCTGAGAATCACAGCTTCAGAATAATGAGATAACGATAAACCCTAACCCTGAACCTGGTGTCATAACACTATGTTTTATGAAGTCTTAGAATGTTTGTGTTGAAAATGTTTCTCTGTTTTCAGGGAAACCCCAAAGCCACGGAGAAAATCAGGGAAGGTGAAAGAAGAGAAAGAAAAGAAAGAGATTAAAGTGGAAGTAGAAGTAGAGGTGAAAGAAGAAGAGAATGAAATTAGGGAAGATGAGGAGCCTCCTAGGAAGTGAGTAGGCGGATACTGTTAAAGTGGAAACCTTCCTTTTAAAACCACTGGTAGACAGACTTCAAGTTATATGGGAGTGCATTCACCGGCACGGACAGACAGACAGACAGACACGCGCGCGCGCGCGCACACACACACACACACACACACACACACACACATTCATTCAGGCCTGGGGCCAGATGCATTTAATCTAGCATTTGGGAGGCAGAGACAAGCCTCTGTGTAAAGCCAACCTAATCTTCATAGCTAATTCCAGCCAAGCCAGGGTTTCATAATGAGTCCTCTCAAATAAAAAACCCAAACACAAGAAAAAGATATATGAGTGTGTAAAATGCTGATGTTAAGCAACTTAGAGTTTCTTTGGAGAAACTTCTCAGAAACTTGAAAAGTTGTTTTGGTGTTGGTTTTGTATTACTGCAAAGCAATATATTAGTAAGTCCAAATGAGCAGAAGACCGTATCTATAGGGATACAGAGGGAATAGGAAAGCCAGAAAAAAATTTGTCCTCAAAAACTAACAAATAGTTAAATGATGCAGAAGCCTTGATTCTGTAAAATCTGTCTGTGTGGCACAAACTTTGTTGCAGAAATAAGGATGTTTTATTAGCTTCTTGATTGTTATTTTTAATTAGTTGCATTTAGATGATAAACTCTTACTACAACTAGTCTTCAAGTAATAACATTAAAATTTAGGCAGATATTACATAGTAATGCCTAGTTTGCTACTCAAAGATAAAGAATAAATTGAGTGGAATTACCTCAGAGTAAATCTAGCTTAGTGGCCAGATGCCTTTGTTTTTGTTTTATGTGTCTGTCTGTGTTACTGGTTGTGCCCTGTGTCTGCCATCTGTTCTTTGGCCTCTAGAATGTGCTTCAGCCATCCTTATCTATATAACCTTCTATCTAGAATATTTAGATAACTACTCTTTCTTAAATTATAGGAGAGGGAGAAGGAGAAAAGATGACAAAAGTCCACGATTGCCCAAAAGGAGGTGAGACATTTCTACTCCTGTTTTTTATAACTTAGGTCTTTGATAAATGTTTGATTACTTTAGCTTTCATAAGCAAAGGAGATGTGGCTTATTGAAAATTTCAGAAATGTGATTTCCTTAGTGTTTATGATGCACAGATGGTGTGTTTTTATCATTGCAGGGTGCTGATTCATCTGAAATAAACCTTCAGTACTTTTTACCTTTTTGTGGCTTGCTACCTTATTCATGCTGTTTTTAGATTATCAAACATTTGCAGTTTGATTAATTGAGTACAAATTTTATGAAACCTATGTATAACTATAGGTATATTAATTTATTTAAGACACGTATTATCACACTATATATAGAATACCACTTCTCTTGCTAACTTTTTCTGACATTTTGGTAATAGAAAAAAACCTCCAATCCAATACGTCCGTTGTGAGATGGAAGGATGTGGGACTGTTCTTGCTCACCCTCGCTATTTGCAGGTCAGTGAAGATGTCACACATTGCAGTCTTTCATGCAGTGTCCATTGCTTGTCTCCTAAGATGTCAATTTGTGTGCTAATTGTAAACACTGACATAAAATCTGAAGAAAAATATTCCTAAGTATAAAATTGCATAAATCGTCTTTACTCCACTTGTACTTCTTTAACAGTATATCTGAAACTAGTAATTTAAAGAACAAATGTGTTGGCTTTTGATTCTGAATCCCTTAGAAGTCTTAAGAATGTGGTACCAGCATCTGGGGGCTCTTCTTACTTCATCGCCGAGTATAAGGCTGAAGGACAAGAAGGAAGCATGAGGAGAAAACGGGGATCTGAGTTCACTCTGTTAACAACTTTAATCCATTTGTGAGGAAAGAACACGTAAACATATCTCAGCATTTTTGCATTAAGGACTTAAGTTTTCAACACAGGAACCTTGGCGGATACAATTAAACCTTAGTTCATTCTATTAAAGAAATACTAATGAAGAACTAAAACTCCCAAGCCCAACCAAGTACAGGACTTTTCTTGAGTTTTTACAGTGTTACAATATGCCCCAAAACAGTGTGAAGAATTCTGCTTTAACAGATCGTTGTAACAATACACAAGACACATAATAATAAATTTTAACTTACATATTAGGATAAAATGAATATAGCATTCAAACCAGCAATTTCTTTGAGATAGTCCAAAAGTGATTTTTTAATTTTTGGTCTTCTAAGTTTTTCCTTAAGTGAATAGATATTTAGTTGGCTGTGTTTCTGGGTATATGTATAAGTCTGGAAGAAACAGGGAATTGAAATAGTGAAATGCTGCTTAGGAAATACCTGTTAGTCTTTAGCAGTAAGTATAAAACTAAGATCTTACTGTGGAGTATGGTTCTGTTACAGTAAGTATAGCTACTGTTTTTTGGTTTTTGGCATGTGCCATTTGGTATAACATTTATTATGTTTCTATTTTACAAATGAAAACTAGAACTTGAAATGTTTAACTGTGTCTCAGATCACATTGCTAGTGAGTGACAAGTGCAGATTGGATTCAGGTCTATTTCATACCCCGTGTTCTTTACCATTTTACTCTAGTTTTCCTTAACTTTTTTTGATTTAGGAAAAAAAAAAAGAATGTTGAGAAATCTTACTTACTTTTCACTTTCCTTTTGCTATTTTAGCACCACATTAAATACCAGCATTTGCTGAAAAAAAAATATGTATGTCCCCATCCCTCCTGTGGACGACTCTTCAGGCTCCAGAAACAACTTCTGCGACATGCCAAACATCATACAGGTACATATCTAAGTTAAAAGGTTTATCATGTAGCCAAGAGAACTGCAGTTTGGGCAAGTAGTCTGGTAATGAATCAAGATTTTTCTAGTACAGGTCTTCTTAAAAGGACCTAATCGACAAGCATGAAAAAAAGTTAGGAAAATAAAAGTTATAAACATAAAAGTTTAAATGTGCCATTTTTGAGTTGGACTTGGTCACATACATCTGTAATCCCATCACTGGGAAAACTAAAGCCTGAGTTGCAGGCCAGACTGGACTATGTAGATAGAGCCTGTTGTAAAAGCTAAAGATAGAGGAAGTATGAGGTTTCATTAAGAAGTCTTGGCTGTCCTGCAACTCACTGTGGAGACCAGGCTGGCCTCATACTACCACCAGTTCTACCATAGTTTCCCAGTACCATAGAGGTATTGGGATTGGTGCTCATTGCTTTTTCTAGTCTTGAAATAACTGTGTTGTTGTTATAAAGTGCTTGCCCCACAAGCATGAGGACCAGAGATCAGATATTCTAGGACCCATGTAAAAGCCAGGCAGGTGGCTTCCTATAATCTTAGCACTTGGGAAATAGTTTCTCTAGGGCAGTCTGACTGACTAGCAGGAATCAATGCACTCTGGGTTCTGTGAGCAATCCTGCCTCAAAGAATGAAGTGGAAAGAGCTCTCAAAAGACAGAACTTCAGTTTCAATCCTTCATATACACCATACACGTGTAAAACTAAATAATTTACTTTTTTAACAAAATGAATATTACAGGGTATGATCAGCTAGAGCTTTAGAACTTTTACTGTTTGACTTCTAAGAATTTTTTTTCCTGGCAGTATTGCTCTTTTACTAAGCATATGTTCTATGCTAGCTGTGAACTTAACATATAGCTATGCTAATCTGTCTACTCAATACCACTAATCTGTATTTTATGCCCAAGAACCCAGAAGTTTAGAAGAATTAAGCAATTTGCCAATTCTGCTTCAGGTAGATATTTATCAGCAAAGATAGAAACTTGGTAGTAGCTATTAGAGAATAAAAGTAGAATGAACATAATGAGAAAGCCTAAAAAAGTAAAGGGGGGTTGGTTTATTTTTTCTATTAAATAGCTCAAGATGATTATATTTGTGAAGATCATAAAAGCTGGTCACTGGACTTGTTTGTTAATTCCTATAGAAACAACTCAAAAACAGAAGCTGACTAATATGTATTACAGAATAGGCTCAAATTCTATTCCTTTACAGCCACTGACAATTTTAATGAAATTCTGCTTTCAACATAATTTGAGTTGCCTGTTAATATTACATAATATTAAATGGATATATCTCACACTTGATAATTACATATATTCTCTCCTCAGTCTTGGACAGTAAGACTAAAAGTTCCCCTTGAAAAAATATGTCCCTCCTGATAATGATGTACATACTCTCACTTAAGTAAGTTACTTTTCACTTTTCCTTAACTATAAATTATAGGTACCAATATGACAGACCAGCTTAATAAAGATATGAGCTAACATGTGTTTCTAAATATTATATAGAACTTGCAACATAGTAGACATTTGCAAACTACCAGTCTATGAACTCTTGTGTGTTATGGGAACTCGAATATTCAGCCAATAGTCTTTGAGGTACCGGCCCCTGGAGTCAGGTGGAGGCAGGAAGGTAGACTGAGTCCGTTTCAGGTGTGGATGCAGGTAGGATGGGGCATTGAGCAAAGGGGACAAGCATTCACCAAGTGCACAAGCCACTAGGGCAAGTTCCAGCTGCCTACCAACACAGGAGGGAGTCAGGTATGGTCCACTTGATCCAGCGAGCCTTTGCAGGGGCTGGACTTTTCTGCCCTTTTCTGAGAGCTCTGAGGTGCTGGTGGGATAGGTAGGGCCCCTGCTTGGGGCAGTTTGCCACTTTGGGGCCTTTAGTGTTCTGGCCAATGGTCACCATATTGTAATGGATGATTGTAATAAGAGTCCACAAGAGCCCGGAATAAAGGGAAGTCAGGTATTTATTTATTGGGGATCACCCACAAACAACAAAGTAGAGATCCGCTGGGATCTTCTGCCCAGAGGCACTGTGATCCATCTGTGACCACCACCCAAGAAGCAGCTTGCTTCCCAGTCCACACGTAGCATCTGAGACCCTGCTCAAAAGCGGCTGGTACCTCAAAGACTATTATTGGCTGAATGAGTTCCCACAAAACTTGTGCATCATTTCTTCATACTGTATCAATTGAGAAAAATTAAAAAAGAAAAACATGCTGTTTTGTTCCCTAAATACATGTTATACTTTTTTTGTTCTCCCTCTGTACTGTTTTTGTCTCACTGAAAATCTTCCTGACAGCCAGTTTCGAATATTTTAGGTAAATATCACAAATCTACTATGAGAAATTTTTTAATGTATTCTGGTTCAAATATTTATATTTGGTTAATATAATTTCAGAATGTTATCTTTTCCCTTGGAAGTTAGTATATGCAGACACACACACCCTTTGTAAATGTAATTTATCAAGTGGGTGCCCTACACATTTTCTGTGCTCCAGGGAAACTGAAATATTCGGAGCTGGCTGTCAAGAAGACTTTAAGAGGGACATCAGAGTGATGTTGATCCTATAGAACTATATTGTGCAACACAGAATAGCCATTGGCACCATTTGGGTTTTTTCTAGCATTCTCTCATATGTGATGAATCAACATATTCATTAGTATCTCCAAGGTGATTGCTACGTGTGTTCAAATTTGAGGAAAAACATAGCTCATCCCTCAGCTTTCTGAATGAGCCACTTACTGTATCTTGCTGGTTCACATGTTAAAGCTACTTGGGAATGAAAGTAGGTAATTGTTATTGACTTAACCTACATGTTTTTACTGTGATTGCACCAAATGGTTTTAAATTGAATAAAAAATGCAGTGGTTATTAAACAAATTATTCAACATATCTTTGTCCTTTGGCTCCCTGACCAAGTAGTAGAAACAGTACAATGATCCTTTATGTCATTGATTCTAAACGATGCTAGATTCGTTAAGTCCTATGAAACTTGATGTGAGGAAGGGAGTTAGAATGGAATGAGGAAATACTTGAATGGTGCAGAAGATGCAGGGTGGCAAATAAGATAAAGAAATACAAATGGCATTTACATTTTTTTGAAATATCTGGCTATCATTCAACCAGAAATGGTACGGTTTTTACTGTGTTAGATATGAATCAACTTTTTCCAGTAGAAAGCCATATTGTTTTTTATTTGGATTTTTTTTACATGTTAGATTTGTGTGTGTGTGTGTGTGTGTGTGTGTGTGTGTGTGTGTGTGTGTGTGTGTGTGTGTGTGTTAACATCTTCTATAATCTGTAATGGATATTTTAAAGAATAAATCCCATGGAAAATGCACTTAATGTCTATCTTAATTACTGTTCTGTTGCTGTGAGGAGACAACATGGTCATTGCAACTCTTATTAAAGAAAAGCATATAATTTGTGAGCTTGCTTACAAGGTCAGAGTTAGTCCATTATTGTGGCTGGGAACATGGTAGCAGGCAGGCATGGTGCTGGGGAAGTAGCTGAGAGCTCGCATCTGATACAAGAGTTGCAGGCCAAGAGGCTGTTCCTGGCTTGGGTTTTTGAAACCTCAAAGCTCACCCTCATCGAGTCTTTTCCAGCAAGGCCACATCTCCTAATCTTTCCTAAATAGTTCACCAGTTGGGAAACAGACATTCAAATATGTGAGCTTATTGGTGCCATTCTCATTCAAACCACCACAAAATCCTAAGCAATTTGTTCAATATTTGGAATGTTGGTACAAACTGGGATTGAGGTTCTGGTTTCCTTATTTGTACCTAGATTTTTGGTTTGGGTGGGTGGGTTTGGTTTGAGGCAAGGTTAACTATGTAGCCCTAGCTGACCTGGAATTCACTATATAGACCAGGTTAGTTTCATAGAAGAAATCTGAATGACTCTGCCTCCTAAGTGCTGGGACTAGCCTGGGTTACTCCAGTTTATACACTAACATCTCAAGATTTGGAGCTAGGAACCACAAGTGATAGAGAATTTTTGTCTTTATGAATCTGGGTCACCCCACTCAATGTATTTTCTAGTCCAATCAATTTATTTGCAAATATGTACCACATTTTCATTACTACTCATTCATCAGTTGAAAGACATTTAGTTTGTTTCCATTTCCTAGCTACTCTAGAATAGCAGTAAACATGACTGAGCAAGTAAGTACCTGTAGGGTAGGATGTCAAGTCCTTTGGGCTATGTTAGAGTGGAATAGCTGGGCCATTTGGTAGATTTATTTTTAGCTTTTTGAGGATTTTCCACATTAATTTTCAAAGTATCTGCATCAGTTTGCAATCCCAACGACAGTGGGTGAGGGTTTTTTTTTTTCCTCCATTCAGCATTTATTGTCAGTTGTTTTGTTAGTCATTCTGGCAGGGATAAGATGGATGGAATTGTTTTTATTTATATTTCTCTAATTGCTGAGTATGTACACTTTATGATATTTCTTGGTCACTTTTATTTCTTGTTTTGTAACTGCAGATCTATAGCGCATTTTTCAAATTGATACTTATCTTGATTCTTTGTTTTTTTTTTGTGTTAGGTATATATTCTAAATATTAATCCTCTGTAAAATGTATAGAAGGCATAGGTCCTTACCTGTTCCATAGGATTCTTCTTCCCTCAGTTGTTTTATTAGCTGTACAGAAGCTTTGATTTTTATGAGAGCCCTGTGATAGTTTGAGTGAAAATAGCCCCATGGGGTCTTAGAGACTAGCACTTTTGGGAGGTAGAGCCTTATTGGAGTAGGTGTGCTACTGTTGGAGGAAGTGTGTCACTGGGGATAGGCTTGAGGTATCAGAAGTTCAAGCCAGGCAGAGTGGATCATTGTCTTCCTACTGCCAGATGTAAACCTTTGAGCTACCTCTCACACCACATCTACCTGCATGCCACCATGTTTCCTGCCTTGGCAATAACAAATTAAACCTCTGAACTGTAAGGCAGTCCCAATTAAATGTTTTCCTTTATAAGAGTTGCCATGGTCATGGTGTCTTTCACAGCAATAAAATGCTAAGAGAGCCCACTTATCAGTTGTTTTAATTCCTGAGCAAATAGAGTTCTATTCAGAAAGACTTTCCTACATCTATATCTTGTGTTGTTTTTTTGTTTTGTTTTGTTTTGTTTTTCCTAGCAATTTCAGTATTTCATGATTCATACTTAGGTCTTTGATTCATTTGAAGTTAATTTTTGTGCATGGTGTTATATGTGGGTCTGATTTCAATAGATATCTCATTTTCCCAGCACCATTTCATAATGATTCTGTCTTGTTTCTAGTGTTTGTGCTTGGGATCCTTTTATTTCTAAATTTTATAGTCAAATATAATGTAATTGTTGTATAATTAAAAATTATTATTGCTGTAATAAACACCATGGCCCAAAGCACCTTCAGGAGGATAGGATTTATTTTGCTTATACTTCCGCATCACAGGAAGTCAGGGCAGGAACTAAAGAAGATGCCATTGAAGAACATTGTTTACTGGCTAACCCCAGAACTTCCTGCCCATGGGTGGCACCAACCACAGTGAACTAGGCCCTACAACATCAATCATGGCCTGAAGTACCACAGGCCAATCTCCTGGGGCTCAGTTGAGGTTCCTCTTTCAAAAAAACTCTAGCTTGGGCTAAGTTTATATAGTATTAGATAGCCGAGTGTCTTCTTCAAATATCAGGTGGCTATAGTTATGTGCACATGTACTTGTGAGATGTTCATTCTAAGCTGGGACCTCTAAAAGATACTTTTATTCTTAGGGAAATTCATAACAACATTATCTTGATTGTAATCAACTCCTATTCCTCCCTTGAACTCCTGCCAGACCCACCCACCTCCAGTGTCCTCTGGTTTTTTAGACTGTCTCACAGTAGTTGTCTTGACCCTCTGCCTTTCAAAATCTTTTTGTGCTACTTCCTGGTTTTGATGGGATTTGTTTTTATTTCTTTTTCTCTATTTAAGACAGTGGTTCTCAACCTTGCTAATGCTGCTACCCTTAAAAATACAGTTTTCATGTTGTGGTGACCCCCAACAATGAAAAAAGTATTTTCACTGCTGCTTTATAACTGAAATTTTGCTACTGTTATGAATCATAATGTAAATATCAGATTGCAGGATATATGATCTGGTATGCAACCCTTGTGAAAAGGTCATTGAACCCCCAAAAAGAGTTGCCGCTCTCAGGTTGGGAACTGCTGGTTTTAAGAGAATGTTCACTGTTTTCTTATATAATAACCTTATTGCTTTCAGGTGTGTTCTTTCCAAACCCTCACTTCCAGATTTTTATCATAAAAGCATTTTGGATTTTGTCAAAGACTTCATTTGTCTACTGAGATGATCTTGTGTTGTTTTACCTTAAGCCCATTTATATGATTTGTTTACTCACATATATTGAATCATCCCTGCATCTCTGGGATGAAAACCAACTTGATCATGGTGGGTTATCTTTTTGATATGTCTATTCAGTTTGCAAGTATTTTACTGATTTTTGCATCTATGTATGAGGGATATTGACCTATAGTTCTATTTTTGTGTATGTGTCTACCTAGCTTGAGTATTAGAGTAGCACTAGCTTCTAGAATTATAATTTTTAAGCTGATTTTTATTCTACTGAATGCATGGATGAAAAATAAAATCAAAAGAATATTTTTTGTTGTTAAATTTAGCTTGCTCGAAATATTTGCTCTTTTGCAGAGGGTGTTATGTGCTGGAGACAAACTGCTAGAAGACTCGCTCACCTGCAAACTGCAGAAAATACTTAGCAGGTGTCTTAATGGAACATTAACCACATTATTTTTCTCCTTAGATCAGAGGGATTATATCTGTGAATATTGTGCTCGGGCCTTCAAGAGTTCCCACAATCTGGCAGTACACAGGATGATTCACACGGGCGAGAAGCCATTACAGTGAGTATTTATAATTGGTGAATATCTGGGTAGGAGTGCATTTATCTCACTTGGAGGCCTGTTGTCCTTTATAAACATTCCAGTTGTCACTGCTGTTTTTACTTTTATTAAATTAAAGACTAATAATTGGGGATTTTTTTCTTTGTTTTGCTGTTCTTTATAAATATATTTTTATTAGTTTGAGAATTTATTCTGCCTTAACCACTTCCCATTCCACCCATGGAATCCAGTTTGTGCTGCCTATGTATTTGTGTATATATAAAGTTTCAGTTCTTACCTGGCCCTTATTTAAGAATTCTCTGCTTGATCGTTCATTTCCTTTGGATTTCCTTTAGATGTGAGATCTGCGGATTTACTTGTCGACAAAAGGCATCCCTTAATTGGCACATGAAGAAACATGATGCAGACTCCTTCTACCAATTTTCTTGCAATATCTGTGGCAAAAAATTTGAGAAGAAGGACAGTGTAGTAGCACACAAAGCAAAGAGCCACCCTGAGGTGCTGATTGCAGAAGCTCTGGCAGCCAATGCAGGCGCCCTCATCACCAGCACAGATATCTTGGGCACTAACCCAGAGCCCCTGACACAACCTGCAGATGCTCAGGGGCTTCCTCTTCTTCCTGAGCCCTTGGGAAATTCAACATCTGGAGAGTGTCTACTGCTAGAAGCTGAAGGGATGTCGAAGTCATACTGCAGTGGGACAGAACGGGTGAGCCTTATGGCTGACGGGAAGATCTTTGTGGGAAGCGGCAGCAGTGGGGGCACTGAAGGGCTGGTCATGAACTCGGATATACTCGGTGCTACCACAGAGGTTCTGATTGAAGATTCAGACTCTACTGGACCTTAGTGCAAAGGAAGACTTTGGGCACTGGGACAGTGCAGACTTTGTATTTAAAAGATAAAAAGGACAAAAAAAAAATTCAAAGCATTTAAAATCTAGTAAAATAACTGAAGGGCCTGCTCTTTGCATTGTGGATCACAGCACACACACATACTGTCTATCTCTATCTATCTGTATCTCTATCTCTCTATCTCTGTCCCCTTCCCCTGAAGTTCCCTCCCTCATCCTTAAAACATTGATGTTGCCTTTACCAGAAAGGTCATTGAAAAAGCAGCAGCGTACTTGGTTCCAGCCATCAGCAGTAGACTTCCTGCTCATCAGCAGATCTCCTTTTCCCAACCTGTAACTCTGATATTCTCTGGATCAGCTTTTAACTCATAATAGTATATTACTATCATCTAAATACTTTCTCCTCTACTGCTGCCCTGTGGCTCTGGCTTCTCCCCACTGCAACAACCAACACTTATCCTCAAATATTATATATAATTCTATTTTCCAGAGGCTGGCAATTTGACTTGGCACTTTAGGGCCCCTTAGCAGGATGCTGTTAAAACAGCACACATCTCTCACCCCTCTTCCATTACTCACTGGGTTTGGGGAAGGAAGGATGATACATGGGGACCACCTCCCTTCCCCTTCAGTGGATCCCAGCACCTCAGTCCCCCTCCCAAACCTCCATATGGCTCTTAATGGTGCTCACTTGCTTGGAAGCAGGCTCCCAAGAGAGGGGACTGCCCTATGAACAGTCTTTTTGGCTGTAAAATGGGGCTCTATGTCAGTGAGAAAAGTCCCAGGCTAATGGCAGAAATTTGCACTTTGAACATGTGTGTTTTTGTGTTTTGGAACCTGAGATTCCTTATTTATTAATGGAAAGTCTGATTTTTTGGGGGGAGGGTCTTTGTTGCTATGTTTTGTGGGGCTGGGAGAGTAGATTATTCTGACATGGGATCCTTCCTACAAGAGGTACTTTGAAGGCAAGGCTTAGAGTTAAAGAAGCACAGCCAGCCTCTAAAATCATAGTTTTCCAGTGGCCTTTAAAGAAAGCTGGTCCTCAGCACTAACAGAATCACTACAGTAGCCTAGTGCTTTTTTGCAAGCCTTAGGGAAGGCTGATAGGTTTATGGTGACTAGTGTGCTCTTTGAGATACAAGGATTTGAAGGGATGAGGAATGTTGTTGTTCAAGGTCTGAATCACACATAAAAGATTTTTTTCTTCTGTGAATTTATTTTCTCTTTTTGTCCTCACCATTTCTTTACATTTATCTCCCTACTGACCTAACTCTGGCCCCTTGTTTTGATTTTGGTTTTGTCATTGGCCATTCCAGCTCTCCATTAGTAGGAGACCAGACCCTGTCATTCATGAAGGAATAAAATTGAAGAGTCCTAGAGTTTTGGTTAAGAGAAAACTGACTTGTTTCCCCTTTAGAAAAGACAAAAGCAAAGGTGAAAATCTGTGTGATAATGTCTTTGGCTTTCCCCAAATTATCTATTTTCCTTGGAGTAGGGATTTTAATGCATTGTGAATTGTTTATTTCTGTCATTGGGAGACACAGATCGTGTTTTTATATGCTTTTACCTCTCAGAAGACTAAAACCCTAATTCAGCTCATTTTTTTTTGAGAATTAGAAGTGCAGCTCCTCCCTATGTGCTTCAGAATCTGCCATTGAAGACCTGGCCAGTTGTTGTCAGAAATACATGATGACTGTTGGGAAAAATAAGAGTCTGATTGAGAACAAAATAAGGAACAGCTTGTTTTTCACAAACACTAAAACTATGGAGTTTATCAAATTTTCTCTGCTTAATTTTTCCCCCCCAAAAAATGTCATCTCTGAAAGACGCTTACTGTACACCCACCAGTGTCACTGGTTGGGATGCCAGGAGGAGGGAGGAAGACACCTACAGGAACAATCTTAAACACATTATTGTTTCCTCTAGTGTTGCAGACTTTGCCATCCCTCCCATGGTGAGGGGAGAGAAGGCATAAAGACAGGCTTTCCTGCCCCACTGTTTGCAGTTTACTTTGGTACATTGGTACACAGATTTGAAAATACTGTAAGAGTAATTATAAATGGGACTGCAACAAAGTTGCTCTATGTGATACTGTTTCTGTAACTAATGTTTGTGTCCTACACTTACCCTTTGTTTTTCACATTTAGACTGTCTCCATAAATTTTACTTAGAATGGTTACTCATCAAATACAGCCACCCACAGAAAAGCAAACTGCATTGTAAACATCTCTTCTTTCTGGAATGGGGAAAAATATGTTCTTTTCTGTACCTCACTCCCCTCCCCATGAAAGCAACTAGATATAATAATTAGAAACTTCCTGGCCTCTCATTTGGGGGAGCATGTGTAAGGGAGCTGGGTCATCTTCATAGCTACCATTGATGACAATAAATTATTGTAGCAGTTTGCAATAAATTTTAAGATAGTTTTCATGAACTTTACATTTTTTCTTGGGAGAACAAGTGCTAGCATAGTAAAAGTATATGAGTAAACTAAGCACCATTCCCATTTCTTTCCTTTCTTCCCATGCCACTCATTTAATTGTCCTTTAAGGAGTCCTTTTAATCTTAAAAGTTGGTAGATATTTCATGCTCTTACTATCTTTTAAATAACTAGTCATCCCTCCAATATCAATTGGCAATCCTAAATTTTATGGATATAGTTGTGATAATTATTCGGTATTTCTGGGAGTTATGCATACTCCTTGCTTGGGTTGCTGGTGTATTTTGCATAACCGTAACACATTTCACAGGGTTTAGTCAGACACTGGCTGGGAGTCCTGGGGATGAGCACGGAATACATTGTCATAGAGCACTTGGACCTCCCTCACACCTGTTTGGAGGAAGAATGTGAACTCTGCCACCAACCTAAGTGAGGTCTTATAGCCTCGCAGCAGACCAGTTTTGCTCCTGTCTTTCTTCCAATTTTCCATATACACAAGAAAATCAGAATATTGTAATGGGGCAGTTATATTTCCTGAAATCTCTTTTGCCTGTTGAAATGTGCAGGACCCTTTTCCTGTGATGAGAGATAGGTGGTTACTTGATCTAGGTTTAAAAGTTATGTAAAAAAAAAAAAAATTATAATAAAAGGGATACTTTGCTTTTAAAATCTTGTTTCCTCTTAATCTAGTTAATCATATTCAAAATAAGTATGTAAAGAAGAAAAATAAAAGTTGTCTTCCTGGAAGCAACTGGTCGGTCTTGGTTGTACTGAGTTAGTCATCCGAGAGTAAAACAGTTGATGCTGCTAAATGAAGAAAACAGATGCCCCCAGGGTAAGCTTTTGTATGCTGCTAGTTGCTCTTTGTTGAGAGTTGGGTAGCGGTTCTAATGCTGAGATGCCTTGTAGCTCTGTTTGGCAGACTCCAAATGTTGTTTCAGTTGCTTACTTGGGGATGTTAAAAGATAGTAGGAAATACATTTTACTCTGATGACAGAACCTTGGTTGCATTTAACATCAGTGCTTCTTGACAAACTTTTAATACCTGTGTCAAGTTCTAATTTTAAGAAAGAAAACATAGTGTAACCTTGGTAAAAGTTCAATGGCAGTCTTTCTTCATTTATTGTTTGCCGATGTCAATTTGCTCCTTAGATGACAAGTGTTTGAACTTCTTGGCAACATCTGATGTGAAATAGGGACGGTCACAGACCCATTTGAGGATGAAACTTTGAAACTTTAGCCAATTAGCATCACCCACTGAGTGCAGTACAATAGAATGACAGATCTGTAAGCACCTTTTAACTCTTTTGTCCTCATTTCAAAGCCTGTTCATTCTCTTGTTTAGCATGGAGTATGACTGGGACTGGGAAGAAAAAGAAGCGTGTTGTCACTTGAGTAAGACTGCCTGAGAAATGTTACTAAGTTAGAGTTGGGTGTTTCCTTTGGGAGAGAACAGGCCTAAACAGTGCCTTCCACATCCTGTAGCTACTAGGAAGGCACCATGATTGAGATTAGAGATGCTCCTTTACCTAATTTCTAAACAAGTTTAAATTAACCTTGTGAAGAATGGGGATGGAAAGATGCTACCAAGGACTTGTATCATATCATATAGTCTTTGTCTCTCACAAAACAGGAACTACACAAAGAAATCGTAAAAGGGGTGGGGGGGCGGTGAATGTACCCAATGACCAGAGCAGAAACAAAACTCTAGTTTATTGGATTACCTTTTTTGATGAAAGTTTCTTATATCAAATGAGAAAATTATTATTTGCACCCAAAGAATACTAATCTTTAGCCCCAAATTAGTTTTAAGAATCAAATGAAGTTTAAATGCTATAAAATAGTATCTGACCCATTTGATAAATGGCACCTAACTCAATACATTTTGCCATACTAAAAAATTTAGAATGTAAAAAGCAGAATAAAATAATAAATTATATGTGTAAATAACACTACATTAGGCAGGGGTGGGTGTCATGAGGATTAGTGTGATAGTGACCTTGTTGCTAAGTACAAAAGCAAAACAATGACATAAAAACAAGTGCTAAGAACTGAGTGGAGGAGAGAGATGGAGGCAGACACTACGGAAAAAAAGACTGATTAAAAAGGGCCCTTTGATTCCACAGGCTCAAAAATCCACAGCCAGGAATTTGCTGCCACCTCTGAGTCAGGCAGGGGGTGGGGATGGGGGTGCACAATCCCATTAGAGAATGCCCAGTGGATTTAGTCTGTGGGAGTCACATTTCTTATTTGGCCCAGTGAAGACAGAAGCAAACCAGCTCACTTGTTTCCTGGGACAGTTGATTTAGGGGATGGCTTTCGCTGAGCAGTCACCTCTGACCCTTCACCGCCGGGACCTCTGTAGCCGTTCTATCTGGCTAGCAAGGAAGATTCGTTCAGACCTGACTGCGCTTATGGAATCTTACGTAAGTTGTCTATTTTGCTGTTGTCTGTTTTCAACTCTTCTAACCCAACATTTAACCGTCATGTTCCGACCCCATAACCAATTATCTAGTCTTAATGGTCATTCAATAAACACCTGTAATTTGGCATGGCCTCTCCCTTGAGAACCTTAATGTCTTCTAGGCTGTTTAAGAGACAGGACTTTCCTTGAATGAGAAGATACATTATTTGATTGCCTTTTTTCTGAATCTTAACAGGATAGACAGTAGGCTTCCTATATTTTGGTCCTTCATAGAATTTTTGAGCTTTAGAAATAAAGGGCTTTCAGGATTAGGAAGCACTTTATGGAATTTTGGAGAAATGTATAGTTTCCCTCTGTGCAGTATAAGCTACCTACATTTTAGTTTTCTACATCAGAAGTATACCTGTAACTGAATAGATTTATCAAAAAGATTCCCTAGAAGATTCACTCGAGTCTTGTGAAAATGTCAAGTTAACCATTCTAGTTCTGGGCTTGTTTTCTCATGAAGTACCTCTATCTAAAGGCCTGATTTGATAATATTCCAGGCCTCAGATAAAATTACAAATTTATGTTCTCTAAGAATTGATAACTTTTGAAAAGCCTTACCATACATAAGACTAATATTTAATTACCCTTTTAAAGCCAGTTTCTGTTGTATTCTAAAGGATCAATCTCACCTTGAGAGTGGACATTAGGGATAGGAAAATTCAGGTAGTGTTGTAGGATCATGGCTCACCAAATGAAGGGTTTCCATTCTAGACATTTTCTTTACAACTTGAATCATTGACTATAGAAGTAAGAGAGATTTTATTTATGATTGAAGAAAGGAATTGAGATGATGCGGAGCATATCATGTTTTGCTATATCCTTGGCCAGGTGAAGCATCAGGGCCTGAATAAAAATATCAACCTGGACTCTGTGGCTGGTGTGCCAGTGGCAAGCACTGATCGTTGGAGTGAGATGACTGAGGCAGAGAGACTCCAAGAGAACCTCCAGGCTTATCGTACCTTCCATGGGATGTTAACCAAGCTTTTAGAAGACCAGAGAGTACATTTCACCCCAACTGAAGGTGACTTCCATCAGGCAATACATACTCTTCTGCTCCAAGTTTCTGCCTTTGCCTACCAGCTAGAGGAGTTAATGGTCCTTATGGAGCAGAAGATCCCAGAGAATGAGGTTGATGGGATGCCTGTCACTGTTGGAGATGGTGGCCTTTTTGAGAAGAAGCTTTGGGGCCTGAAGGTCCTTCAAGAGCTTTCACAGTGGACCGTGAGGTCTATCCATGACCTCCGTGTCATTTCTTCTCATCAGATGGGAATCTCAGCGCATGAGAGCCATTATGGGGCCAAGGATAAGCAAATGTAGCAGCTACCCCTTCTCTCTCTTTTGTTCTGGTGAAATAGGTACTTCCCCGAGGCTTCATTTTCTCAGAATCAATTTTTGAAAACCTTAAGCCACAGCCATTTTCATCAAGTAGGGTTGACCCACATATGAAAAGGTGGATATACAGGGTTATTCTGGGTATATGCATATGTGTGCATATGTTTTTGTTTGTATTGATGGTATAGTAGAGTAGAAACAAGAGCACTAACCTCCCACCTTTGTGCTTTAATGTTCCTGATACTAAGTGACCTTTCTAGGCATTTAACAGCCTTACAGGCAGAAGAGAAAGTGTAACTAGTTCTGATTGACTTCGGCAAAGACTGACTAAACAATAGAAGTCCTAGACTAGCGCCAAACTACCATAAAAATAGCATTGCTGTGCTGAGGCAATGAGTGTGCCATCCCTTTTATATACTTTATATATAACTTGACATCTTTGTCTCAGAGGGTTAGAAGATGGTTCTTGTAATCTGTCCCTAGCACTGAAAAGCAGCCCTTGTTACACATCCTCAGAAGTCAACAGCAGACTGCCATCCACAAGTATTTGTTGCTCACACCTGGGAAAGAACAGCAACTATACATCTTCAGATTCCATTTGGGGGGAAAAAAAATGGGCCCACTCTACTTCCATAGTTGGAAGCTAAAGGATATGCAATAGCAGACTGGGTTAGTGTTGACTAATGTACTTGAATATTGAGTTAATGACTCTTTATAGCAAGTGAGCAGATGAGTTATATTGGTGCTATAACTAGGTAATCGCAGAGGATGGAATGCTCAGGTTAAAGTGTCATAGAGATCCATCACCTTACATTCTCTGCGCTTAGTCATGAGGGGAGGATGAAGTCTACTTGGTCCCCACTGAGAATGCCAGAGATTCTTAACACAGTAATTCTCTGCTTTTAATGTTCTTGTGAGAGCCACACAGCATAGAAGACTAGGAAACAGACATCCTCATTTGCAGTGAGGCCTGTGCATTAATGGTGCATTGTGAATCCAACAATTTGTTAGTTTCATTTGTTTTTTGCTTATCTTCAGTTAAATTTGAGAGATCTTGAGTTGGGAACCCAAGTCTAATGATGACATCTTGCTTTATAAATGCACGGTCTTGTACCCTCTTCTATAAGGGGTTCCATACAGGCTAGAACTCTAATCAGGTACGGGACAGGATTCAGCCAATCACTGTAGTAGCTCGGGGGAAATGAGACCCTGCTTTCTACTATGCATTTGTAAAAATACAGTTCCTTATGTATAAAATAAAGACCAAAATTAGGGTGAGATTGTACAAAATTGAAAGATCAATTAAAGCTACAAATAAATGTACTGCCTGGGTTGGTGAAGTACATTATAGAATAGACTGAAAAAAATACAAGAGTTGGCTCATGAAAACAAATTATACAATAGTAAACATCTGGACCAAGCATCATAAAAGGCCTATTTTATTCTATTAATGATTTCGGTATAGATAATTTTTCATGTTTAGAAGGGCTTATTTCATTTGTGCTATTAAGTTCTGTTTGTCAGCAGCATTTTCCATTTAATAAAGTATATATTAACAAGGTTCATGGTTAAAGAAGAAAAGTGTCTAAAATTTAATTATGGGGAATAACAAGATTATGAACAATTTGCGTCATGAGTGACCCCTCTTCTAGGGTTTCTGTGTCTCACAGACATGACAGATACATGGCAGGATTTTCAGAAAGCAGTGCATATGAAAGAATATATATGTGTGTGTGCGCGCGCGCATGAGTATGCGTGTGTGTGTGTGTGTGTGTGTGTGTGTTTCAAGTGGAAAGCGGCCCAGAGACAGTACAAATATTGAGGAAAATGTGCCAGTCCTGTAGCTCACAGCAATAGTCTCTTGAGTGCCCTCCCCTACTATGTTATCAGATTCATCTTCAAGAAACTTGGTGGTGCATGATAGCATCCGGCATTCAGGAAGCTGAAGGATTAGGAGTTAGAGAGTAGCTTGGACTATATATATAGTAAGAAGAATGTATACATGCATACCCCAAGAAGAAACTTAGAGTGAGTATGCCTCACAGCAGTGTGTAAAACCTTCAGAAAAAAGGGCCTAGAAGAGTGAATGGGGAGATGTCTTCATGGGTAAGAGTGTTTGTCCTGCAAAGATGAGGACAAGAGTTTGAATACCAAAAAACATGTAAAAGCTGAGTGTGACTGTGTGTACTGTAACACCAGCATTGGAGAACAGAGGTAGAGTGGATCATGGGAGCTCACTGGCCTTGCCAAAACAGTGCTCTGTGACACCGTTTCAAGACAAGACAATAATCGATGAAGACACTTTTGGCACCCCTCTCTGACCTGAGCATGCATGCAGACTCACATGTGCCACACACACAACATAAATTAATTTTAAAAGGAGGGAGGAGGAGCTGAGCATGGTAGTGCACACCTTTAATCAAAGCACTCACTCTGGAAGCAGAAACGGGAAGACTTGGGAGTTCAAAATCACCCTGGTCCAGCTCTAGGATTACATAGACTGTCTCAAGAGGTAAGCAGGAATAAAAGTTTAAATGGGTATTTAGCCATATAACACAAATATAAACCCATGTGAGAGATGAATGTATTGACCACATCATTGTTTACCAGAAATGTGTAAGATTGAATAAAGGGTTGACAAGTGCCAATGCCCTAGAAGTATCTTAATACAGGTAAAAGTTTTGTGAACATAGTTTGTTGTTTGATTCTTGCATGGCACCAAGGATCTTGGCTGGGCTTGGGGGGTGGGAGTTGGTTTCAGCTTGGGACATGAAATCCAGTGCCTCACATAATAAGCGAACACTTTACAGGGAACTCCAGTCCCAGCATTTGGAAGGGTATAGTTTTTAAGGATTCACAAGTTCAGTGAGATTTTTCTTTAGATTTTATTCCCTTATTTCAAAGTCCTGTCCATGGATAGAATCCCTAGAAAACCATAAACAAATTCAGTTCCTCACCTTTAACCTTTACATTGTTTTAAAAACAGATTCTACACACACACACACACACACACACACACACACACCCCAAAAAAAAAAAAAAAACTCTCTAAGGAGGGAGATTGTTTCCCTGATTTGTATGGATGAAGCCTGACAAATTATCCTTAAGATGATGATTTGAAAGACTTCTAAATTAGCACAAATGTGAGGCCAAGCATGGAAAAGAATCAGCTTTAAGATACTCGGAATTGAGGGAAGGGATCACTGAGTTAAACATGCAGAGTATAAAGTCATCCCTGGTACTGCCTTACTTCAGGCTGCTGTAGATGAAACTCGAAAGGATGGCACTGTTGTGACCTCTGGCCAGAGGGAAAAAAATCTAAAAAGTAGTTTCAAGTGATTTCTGATCGTGCCCCCTTGGGTCCTCCCTCACTGTGTACCAGAGCATCAGCTCAAAATTTTTGGCTTTTATTAAAGGTTAGCAACATAGAAAGCAGGCCTCCACCAAAATGAGGAATAGTAGGGGTTGAGTTGAGATTTCAATTGATTGTGGTGTGTGTGATATAATGTGGTTTGGGAATGGAACTCTAAAGAGATGGTTTGACCTCAACTTCAAGCTTCATGGTCTAAAATGAACCGTCTGAATGCTAGTGCATTCAAAAGTAAAAGGGAGTAAAAACGATCTCAGCACAAAACCTTTTACAGAATTCTAAATATCACTGATAAAAAGAAAAAAAATGAAATGTTTGGTGTTTAAAATAAATATCCATGTGCTTGAGATTCTTAACAAAAGATTGTTTCTTGGATCAATCTATTTTGGGCACATAGAAAATAAGAGATGCTACAATGGCTAACAATAGAGTTCTCTTCTCAGCAAGACCACAAGTTGCTTCTTTTATTTCTGTGTCTTTGGATGAACAAGGGGAATTTCAAGTGATTTCAACACTGGATGAAATGTAATCCTCTCAGCCAAGGCCAGGCTCAATCAAGCATGCTGGGTAAATCTCCATGATGCCAGGCCACTGGGCAAAAGTCCCAGGGGCAGGCAGCCTGCAAAAGGCTGAGTGCCCCTACATTACCAGGCTTAATGCTCCTGCAACCTTCTCAATATGTAGTTCAATCGCCTAGGTCGTAAATGAAGATTTGGTTTAATTTCAAATATTTTATTCCCAGCCAGCCCTTTGGCTGAGAAGGATCTTTGAAGAGTCTGTTTCTAGTTATTTTAGAGGTAGAAATTAAGTTGTGACAAACCACATAGGTGAAAATAAAATTGCTGAGTATGTATTTCTGTCTGCATGTTGAGGTAGTAGGAAAGAACAATGCATTTACTTAGCATATGAGACAGCTTGACACTCTTTCGTGATATTTTAATCCTTTGAGATAGTAATCTACTTTCACAGATGAGGGGAATGACAATGGGCATTAATTTGTTCAAGTTCATTCCTCTAGCATATGACAATACTAAAGTTTTAATTCTAGTCTCAAAACTTTGAGATACCTGGTGACCAAGATGATCCAATTCTGAAATCCACCCTCCACCTCTACAGTTCACTTTCCTTGGACAAAGCCAGTACCAACTTGTCCCAAAGGGTAACAAAGCCAAGTTAAGTTCCCATCCTGGGACAAGTCACTTTCTCTGAGCTCCTCACTTATGAAATGGAAAAGATGACAAATACCTGACCTCACAGGTTGTTATACAGTTCAGACAAATTATCTGTATGTACTTGTAAATGGCTTGTGAACTTAAGTGTGTTTAATAACTCAAGTAGCTTAGATTCAAGTTACACTTTGGACTGGGGTGTGCTCTAAATATCTCAGAGAACATCATTTTCTTCCCAGGATGGACATGGTGGGGTCATAACCTAGTTTTCACCTTGTTGACTTTAGGCTCCAAAATAACAACTCAACCTCATCCCCCCCCCAACCCCCCAGAAATCCTACATCTTTGTAGAGTTTGAGACACAGGCTGTTCACTGTTCACAGAAGATGGCTTTTCCTGTAATATAGTCAGACAGGCCCTGGAGACACCTGGCAGGCTCTAGACTGGGGAGCCAAGGAAACATGCAAACCTAGGCGCCACCCAAGATGTGTTAAAGCATGCATTTAGACTCATCTCTCTTATACCCACACCCTCCTCTTAATACAGGAAGGAACTCAAAACTATTTAGTCCTCCGGTCCCTTTATTAGGCACCTAGTGTGAGGGAATCACAGACATTCCAAAATCTGTCCCAATATCCCAGCTCCAAAGAGAATAAGAACTGCAGTATAAGTCTGCACACCACACACACACACACACACACACACACACACACACACACAC